CGGCCGTCATGCTGCACGGCTTGGCCCGCAAGTCCTTGGAGGGGCTGTGGGGACCAACGGCGTCCCAAACCACCAGCTTCCCAGCCGAGGTGCCCGTCAGAGCTTGCGAGTTGTTGAAATGAAAAACGGACTGGCTGAAGCGTCCCACCACGCTGTTGAAGGTCTGCAGAGAGAGCGGCGAGGCCATGTGTTTGTCCTGGGGTCTGGCTCTTCCTTACTCAAGCAGAGATGTTCCCCCTCGGTCCCTCTGTGTGACATTCCCCCCCCTGTCCCATGGCAGGACCCTCAGAGCCAAGAGCCGATGCAGTGGGGCATCTCTGGGAGGGAGAGCCCCTCTTGACCTCAGCTCAGGCAATCCTGGCTTGTCCCTTCGGGAAACCAAGGGGGACAGGATGGACACATGGCCACTGTTTTTGCTAAAGGGGATGGGAAGGGATGGTGCTGCTGCCAGGAGGAAAGCCAAGTGGGTGATGTGTCCCGTTCGCCCCCGCGCTCACCTGGGTGCTGAGGAGCGGCGCACAGTACTGCAGACCACCATCACCCTGGGGAATGCAGGGAAACATCCAGGATGAGCGTTTTGGAACTGTGCTCTGCAGCACCAGCGTGTCCCTGCCCCGTCATCTGGGCACTGGCCCTGCGCTGTGGCGACCAAAGCGGGGCTCTGGGGACAGAAAGGCTCCAAGACCTGTTGTAGGCAGACATCTGTCCCCACAGCCCATATGGCCTCGCTGGTGTGCAGCCCCACATCGCCTCCCAGCCTTCTGAGAGTGCGTCCAGCACCAGAAACATGACTTCCCGTGTCCCTACTTACCCACAGGTAAAATATCACCTGGGTTTTGCTGTTGCTGACAAACTCATGGGGATTTTGAGGGTTAAAAATGACATAATCCTGAAATTAAAAGGTGAGAATCACGTTAACACCAAGCCGAGCGATGCTTTCTGCTTCTTCCTTCATGCAAAACATCTGTTCTTATCCAAAACCCGTTTCAGCACCTGCACAGAACTGAAAACAGAGGCCAAATTCCCTGTGAAATGCCGGAGCTGTGGTCTCTTCCCCGTGAGCGGGGACGAAGCCGATGAACTGTGGGCTTTTCCTGCCATGAGCTCTGGCTGGTGCCAGGGCTGTGGTGGAGGACATCCCACCAGGGTCCCTCTGCATCCCATGGCTGGTGGGCAGCAGAGGAGCATCGATAATGGCCCCGAGATGCTCCGCTGCATTGGGGTGCAGCAGGGATGGGGTGCAGCAGGGATGGGGTGCGATCTGCCTCCCATCTCCAGCCAGCACCTACCCCCAGCCCCATGCTGGACGGGGGCTCAGGGGTGCGGGGGGGGAGTGGGTGAGGACGAGGCTGCCCAGTCCTGCCCAGTCACACTCCTCTGCACCCCTTGGCCACGGTCACTCACCTGATACCCAAACTCAGGGCTCAGCTCCATGCTGCACACGGGTTTCTCTGTTGGCAACGTCCACTTCCAAACACAAACTCTCTGGCAGAGAAGGGAAAAATCAAGGGACGTTTGTGGCTTTCTGGGAGCTTGGGGGAGCCAGGAGAACCCCATTCCCTCTAGCTGCAGGGGATGGAGGGGTGTAAAAGACTGGAGTAGACTGGAGAGTATAAAAGACTGGAGAGTCTTTCTGCTCTCCCCATCCGAATGCCACCCTCCCCTCAGCTGCACCGGGAAAAACTGCCAGTGATCTATCCCACAAAGCTATGGAAGAGGAGATATTTCTTTTACCTGCACTGTACCAGTGCTAACAGTTGCCAAATACTTCGCATCCCGGGAAATAGCAATAGCACTGACCCCCTCCTCCGGATGACTCTCAAAGATGGTGCGCACCGGTATCCTACGGAGCAAAGTCCTCATGAGTGCTCACGGCAGCACAGGGGGTTTGTGGCAATTGCTTGGCAAAATTTGTGGCACAGCCCAGCCCAGTCTGTGCCACGGGAAGGGAATCTGCAAACACCGGTGCTGCTGCGGGAGTAACCAGCACCATGGGTGATGCTCGACATCCTCTCCATCCCTTCCTCCCAAGTAAATGCCTCTGGGAAACAACTCACCATGATGTTTTAAGAAAATATTACAGCTTACAGACATGATGTAGTTAGTGGGGGGGAGCTTGGCCCCATCCCAGTGTCTCATGGGTGTGGGTGATACTAAGACAATGAAGCTTTCAGTTCAGTTTTGGCTCCTTCGCTGCTTTACCCTGTCCCCGTGTTTCTCCCATTTCACCCTCAGCTGAGGCTGCAGTCAGTCCCAAGCGATTTACTGGACATAGAAGGTTTCCAAAGAGGAGATTCCCAGGACCTTACCCGGAGAAGGAGTCCCACACGATGACCAGAGCATCTGGCCCTCGGTCGCCAGTTGCAACCCAGCGCCTGTCTTCGCTCACGCACAGGCAAGAAATGACATTCCTGTGGCCCTGGGGAAAGAGAAGCAGCAAAGTGCTATGGAGGCTCCAGACCCGGCCATTATTTATTGAAATCAGACCGCTTTGCTCGCAAACTCCCCTTGTCTCTTCTCTCGTCCTCCGCCCTCACCCTTCCAGCCTGACTTTTGCATCCTATTTTTCACAGGCTCTTCTGAGCCCGTCACCCCGTCCTTGAGCCTTGTGCTGGCAGCGGCTCCCCGAGCCAAACCGCAGAGGGGAGGAGGGGGCTGTGCCGCACGTCGGCACCGCTGCCATCCGGCACAAAGCGCCTTCCACCAACACGCGTCGGGAACGACGACAGGCGTGTGAGCAAAGCGAGGTGCTGCTTTGCACGGTTCAGTTAGAGCTGATCCCTAAGCACCGGGAAAAGAGACAGAGGGAGAGAGTTTGGGACAAGGGGAGGAGGAGGGAGACGCGCAGCCGCGGGCCAGACCTGCAGGTGGTACTGCCTGTTGCCCACCACGTCGTGGATGACCACTGTGTGGGAGGAGACGTACAGGAGCACCCGGTCCTCCCCGTCCATCAGGCTGTGCACGGCCAGGCTGCTGTTGTAGCCCAACACACAGGCCAGGCTCTGTGGGGAAGAGGCAGCTCCTGGCTCTTAGTGGATGGGACAAAAAAGACCACAACAAACAAAAGGCCTCTGGGGTGCCAGGAGAGCTGGGCAGGAGTGTGGGTGCTGTGCCCACTGGTACTCACGAGGGGGTGAAGGCTAGTCTGCTTGTCCTGCTGGAAGAGCATTCCTGGTGTGGCTGCCCACACTGAGCTGGCAGAGCCATCACGCTGGTCGTGCTCCCTGCTCCTCTGCTCTTTTTCTTGCTCCTCATGGCCGGGACCTGAGCAAGGGCTGGAACTGGCTCCCTTGGGCTCAGGTGGTGTCCCAGTGGTGTCTTCTCCCAGGGCAGACCTTGAGCCAGCTGTCTCCTGCCTCCCAGCTGAGGTGCTGCCTGGGATCCCCATCCCTGAAGGAGACCATAGGGGACCCAACGATGTATACACTCCAGCATCCTCCAGTGCTTCTTCCTTCCCTTCAGCAGCATCCTCTGATAATCCTTCCTGCTCCTTGGCAGTGGTGAGGGGGTCCTTGGAAAGGGAGAGAGGTTTTGGTGTGTGCTGGCTCCTGGGTCTGCAGCTAGAGAGAACGCACACCAGCACGTCTTCAGATCCCAATGTCACCCTCAGGGCAGGCTCTAGTATCAGGATACTCCTCTGCTGCTGTCCAAACTGCCTATGGATTTGTACCAGGGAAAAAAATACCATGGAAAGTTTCCCACCAGTCGCTGCATCTCTTTCTGCACATCTGATCTTGCCCTCTTTGCACCTCCACAGCATCCTGTGTCTCACAGCAGAACCTCTTCCAGGCAGCTCCTGTCACCTGGACTAAGGTGCTCAAGTTTCTCCTCCAGAACTAACCTGTAAGTCCTCTGAAGGCAAAAAGTCTGCCCTTTTTGCTGTCCATCCCCTGACGATTCCCCGTGCAATGGTTACTGATTGCTGCAACAGGGCACACAGTCACGGGTTGGAGAGGGAGTGATGGCAAATTGAGGTTAAAACCAGAGGAATCAGGTCCTGGAACTGCTTCTGAGATGGCTGTGAAGGACTCCAGCAATCCCAGCTCTGTTGCCAGTGTCTCTTGCCATGCTGCCCAGTGAGCAGATGGAAAGTGAGAGTAAAAAAATCCCACCACCACCTTCCTCAGCTCCTCATCAGGCTGTTAAAAAATGTATTAAATAGCCCTGGGGTGTCAGAGCTCACAGCAGCCCCCAGATAGACCTTCCCTGGTCTGAGCACCAGACGCTTAATCTTGTTCTTGAGAATCCACATTGGCTTTTGCCTCTCCCCATGGGGCTACTTGATTTTCTACAGCAACCTCTCAGGCAAGGTATAAACCTCGCTTGGCCGTTGTTTCTGCTCCCGAGGGAGCTGAGATAACATTTCACGCAGCGCAGGGACGAGCCCGGGTTCCCTCCTGCTCACGTAACTCTCGGGCAGCTCAAGTGCTCAGCAAATATTAATGGCTGGACTGGGGCTACGCAGATTTTTTTTTCCGGCGGGGTCCCTGCTCTGCCCCCCCGGGGACATCTCGGGCGGAACCACATCTGGGAGACATCACCCCCTTGGTCCTGGAGCCGGAGGCTCTGCTTCCATCAGGGCCTGCCCACGGTCGCTGGGTCGGGCAGGGATTGCCATGGCGCTGCCCTCACCTGCTCGGGCGGCGCAGCCGTCTCCTGAGCTCTCTGTCCATCCCGGGATGTCTCCATGCTGCTTACTCCTGCTCTTCCCCTGGTCAGCTCCTCCAGTGTAACTTCACAGGAACCATCCATCCACACCTTCGCCCTCGTCCCGCCGAGCTGGGGCACAGAGAAGCTCGGAAATACTCCCCTGCCCAGGGTTTGGCTGCACAACCACCTGGAATTTGGCACAGCAGGAGGAAAGGGCACCTGTGAAGCTGGGAAACGGGTCCCAGAGCCCTTTTGCAGCTCCAGTAATGCTCCTGCCGAGCGCGAGCAAGCCCAGCGCAGCCTCATCACTCCGCTGCGATCAGGCTCCCTCCCCGCCTGCCCGCACGCCGTGCCGGGCACGGACGGTTCCCCGCGGGTGGGGTTCTGTCGCAGTCCCAGTAAGCAGCAGGGCTGCTCCTGGGCGGCAGCGGGTTCGTCTCCAGCTTCACGGCTCTGGGTTTGAGCCAACACCAAAACCTCGTGCATGGAAAGCTTTCAGGGGAGCGGGAAGGAGGCCCCGGGATAAACCTCCCTCTGGGCCTCGGCGGGCAGGACAGCCACAGCCCCACAGATCCCACCGAAGTCACCACAGGGCTGTTCCCTCCAGGCCTTGGTGCCTCCCCAACTGTCCCGTCCTCCCACTGCCCCGTGGGGACCCCTCCGCTCACCGTCACACCAGTCCCGCTTCTGTTTGTTTTTTCCACCGGCTACACCACCGGCTGCCACCAGCGACAGCCCGGAAAGCGCTGGGGGAGAGCAGGGGGCTGTACTGGGAGAGAAGGGGGGACTCTCCTCATCCCCACCAGCTGCTGTGGGAGAGGCGGCGCTGACCCCCTGCCCAAAGCAGGATCCTGGTGGTGCTGTGCCCACGCCTGAATCCTGCTCGAGGCCATGACAAAGCCCCTCTTGGCACCGCCAGTCCCCTTTGGGACCGAGCCCTCGCCCTGGCCAGGGAATGAGACGAGGCCTTTTTACCCGATGCCCCCCCACCCCGAGGGGTCACGGGCAGCTTCTTCTCCCTTGGGGCTCCTGAGTGGGATAAGCAGAATGAAAGTGAGAAAAATCAGCCTCTAACCACCGCCAGGTCCCCCCACACTGTCCCCAGCTCTCTGCCAGGATGGAACTCACACGGGGATCCCATTCCCAGGGATCACTCCAAGCCATCGCCTTCACCACCGCAGATAATCAGCTCTAAGCACTCCCAACCATTGACTCCAGCCTCGCTGTTAAGCTCAAATAATAACAATTTCTGGATCTAATTTGTTTTTCCTTCTGCCCAGCAAGAGCCTTGGACCCTGCTGGGAGTGGAAAGGAGTTTTGCTATCAGCTCCCCTTATCTCCTGGACCTGGAGAAGCTGCCGCGCAGAGGCGGGCCGGCAAAACCGGGGTGCCTCATGTGCGGCACAACTCACTCCGTTGAACAGAGATTTTTTTTTCCAAAAAATCCTCACATTTTTTCCCAGAGGTCTAACAGACCAAGAGCAGCTCCTCTTCTGCACTGGTCCTACAGCAGAGGTTTGAGTGGGGTCTAAGGAAGAAGCTCAAAACTTGCCTATTTGCAGCAGGTTTTGCAACATAGTGTGTTTCTTTTTTTCTTTTGCACTTGTTGGGATTGTTCAGCCCATTCCAGACAGGGCACACACCGGAGGAGCTGCGGATGCAGCGGTTCGGACAGAGGGTTAGGGGCCACACATCTACAAAAGCCTCGCAGAGCTGAGAGCCCTCTGCAGCGCGCAGACGCCCTCGGCGCTGAAAGGGAACCGAGCGCCCCGAGAGCAGGACCCAGCCTGGCTGACGGGGCTGGGCTGACCCCCTAACCTCATTTCAGGAGCTGTGCAGAAAGCTGGGGTTTTCTAGATCATTCCATCCCAGGAGGCACAAAGACAAAGGCCTAGAAGGATGCGTCCCGTGAGCTTTTCTTCTCCTGGACCAATATCTAGACCCAGATTCATCTGCAGCTCGGGTAACACCTAGCCACATCTGGGACACCGGACACAGTTCCCAAGTACACCCGGCCAAGGCCAGCCCCTTGCCAGCCTGGCATTTCAGCTGCCGACTGATACCCAATTTATCCACGTACTTACACCTACATTCTGTTTTATTGGGACAAAAATAGACGGGCAGGGTACGGCCACATTTAGAAACTGCAGCAGCACCCACAAATACAATCCCTTTTGCAAAAAAACAAGGCCTGACACATACATGTAACAATTCTTGTTTTACACAGGTCTGCTGACACTGCGGTCCCACGCAGAGGCTCAGTCCTCCTACAGAACAACCCCACGGGGGTACTTACCTTGTAACTACAGGCGGGGACATTGCACTGCTTTCCAGTGGGATTTCACAGTGGATTTAGGAGATGCAGTGGCCTTTGTGGGCCATAGCACCTGGTGAAGGTCAGCAGTGCAGAGCTACGCTGGTAAAGCGAGGCAGAGCATCCCAAAACACCTCCCGTTCTCAGATATTCCTTAAGAAAAGACATGGAGCAAAACAGTGCCATGTTTCAGCCCTTTTATAATTACCTGAAAGAACAAAACGGGAATAGCTAAGGCAGAGCAGGGTGAGACTGTGGTTGACCAGACTATCTAGGTACAATCTTAGCCACGGAACGCTGCTGCGGAAACGCTTCCTCCGTGGCGCCGTGAAGCCCCAGGGATCACCAAGCAAGGAGCTTTGCGTTGAAGCTTTAGCATTTCAGTGAGAACCTGCTGTTGGACTGGACACAAACACCAACACTTGAAATATCAGAAGGGTAAATCTACTCAATTGAACACAGAGCCCTCCTTAAAAGTTTGGGGTTTAGTCCATTTTTCAGTCCATTTCAGGTCCAGTTAGTGACAATTTTAACAAAATTGCTCGTTGGTGTGATGAGTTACTTATGTCACACCTGCTAATGAAACACTAATGAAAGCCTTGCACCTTACCTGGGCTTCAGCTCTGGAAGGTCAGGGGGTGGCTTTGTGCAGATCTGCGTTTAACCCACCCAACTCGGCCCACAACCACTGCCCAAAATAATAACTCCTACAAGGATGGAGAGAGGCATTACTCAGTTTTATTGTTTCGGAAGAGTATTTTGAGGTTCAACTGGAAACAAGCCGATAACAAACCAATCATCCCAGAAAGCCCCTTGAAGAGTTTATACACCCTAAAACCAACTACCACAAATAAAACGAAAACAAAATGAAAAAGTCATCGAGTTAGGAGTACTTTTATCATGACCATACAAAATACCCAAAGTAAAGTGAAGTAGAATTATAGCCCCTATTCCTTATCTCATTAACTTAACATAATTAGGTGTTCCAAAAATTCTTTCATCATGTTTAGTGACTCGAAAGTTGTAGCAACAGAGGGAAGGTAAAGTATCAAACTTGTGTATTTCTTGACTGTGATCTACTATTATGGACACCAAGAAGCGCTCCAGGACTTTTTAGCACATATTATAAGATATTCAGTGAGGGATTTTAGGGTAAAAAAGCAGAGGAATGCTCTGTTATCACCACGTAAGAACATTTCATGCTCTTTAAAACCTGTATATTAAGTGAAGTTTGGGTCTCTCTATAGCCTCATTCCAAACTGATACAAGGTGTGAAGAGATGAGAAGCCACATCTCGCAACTCTGCAAGCCACTCCTGATGAACCAGTGCCATTCTGAATTCCAGTCAGACCTTATTCTATCGGAACCTCTTCGGGCTCAGAGTTTGCCACGTAGAGGTCACAACCTCTGAAACGTTTGTTTCA